ACTCGACAATTTGTGCACACACTCGCACACACATACTGACGCCAGTCATTATTTCTTGCTAAATCAATAATTGCCTCAAAAAATAGGCCAAACATCTGATAAAGAAGTGGCTACTTCTTTACAGTCTTCAGTCTTCACATAGTACATCTAACTTCAGTGTCGGCGAAAAGAACGTATTGCTAAAAAAAGAAACCTGTCCACGCGTGAGAAAATGTTCTTTTTTGAACGGGCTTCCATTATTTTTCACAGTAAACGGTTTTCGGTGTAAATAGAACTTGAACTATTGAAACTTTTGTTACACATAAAACCACAAATATCCTGCAACTTTCACAACTGGATCGAAAAGTGTAAAACAAGATCTACGATCTATTGCGTAAATGTAAACATAAAGCACGTGTAAACATGTCAATTGGCAATGCGTGTTCTCTGGTATGTTATTTCTTTGAAGTTGTACGAGAGCATTCGCCGCTTCTTCTTCTCTCTGAGCTGATGATTCAGGCTCAGACGTAGGTGCTTTCCAGCCCTGGCCGGGTACAAACATGCCACAATAGTTACTTTCTTCATTTCCTTCACGGGAGGTTACACAATCCGCTGTCGATCCACCGCACAATGTTTGGTTGTTTAATTCGGCTTGCAGACGAACTGCCATTCTAAAATCACTTTCTTCTTCTGCTGACAGAAACGGTGTGCCGGAAAAAGTAGAAGACGAACTTGCAGTTGATGGACTATGTCGAGGAACTGCCATTCTAAAATCACTTTCTTCTTCTGCTGACAACAATGATGAACGGTGTCCCAGCGGGTTTGGACCCCCCGGTCCAAATCCGCTAGCGGATATGGACCGGGGGTCCATATCCGCAAGCGTATATGGACCCCCCCGGTCCAAATCTGCTAGCGGATTTGGACCCCTCAACAAAACTGAGTGAAAACATCATCCTTAACGTTCTAGTAAAAATGGATGATACTTTACGTTCCAGAGCGTACTGAAGTATGTTTTCAATTCAAAACATGCGTATCGTTGATGCATACGAACTGGCATCCCGTCGGATGTTTCTTTTGACCAAGGGAAAATGAGCAAGAATTTACTTTAATGTCTGGAGAGAGGTCGTTTTTGAACTTTTTCCGCGATAGTCGAACACCGTTAGATTCAATAAGAAACCAACTTGTGACACTAATTTATTTTGTCATTGTTCATTGCCCGAGTGTTGGGACGACATGGTACAGTGCGAGGGATTTATGACTGCCTCGGAGGACGAGTGGCTCTGCATTGTCTGCAGATTGCCAGACTCTAGACGTCTTCGTAATTGTTAAGGTGTTATTTCGGATCCCTCAACAGTTAATAATCGTTAAAATTAGAAAATAAGATTGAGTTCGATGTAATAGTCTCCACTTTTGTTAAGACGTTGACATTAACGTTGATTTGCATCTGAGAATAAGCTGAGAGTTCCAGTAGTAGAATAGAAACATTTTTACTTATCATAGGCTTTACGAACGACTTGTAATACGAGTAGTTTCTCCGTTCTTGTTCAAAAACTGTTTAATGTTATTATTTTAGAAAATCAGACGCAATAGACGTCTCCACTATTGTTATGACGTTTCGTACCAATGTTGATTCGCATCAGAAGAAGCAAAGATTTATTGTAACTATTTCAATAGTTTAAATGCAGTGGTTTGTTCACATCTAATTCTTGCGTATACTGTTCGGCTATAATGAATGTATAATGAATGCGGTAGAATTGGAACAAAATGGCTGTTGTTGTTGTTTTTTTACCTTTATTGAGGAAATGTTGTGTTGTGATTGAAAAGAACATCGACAAAAAAGCTTGCAAATAGAATTAGTTACCAAATATGATACAAAGGATGCTTAAAAGGAAAGTTTGGTAGGGGGGTCCAAATCTGCGAAGGGGGGTCCAAATCCGCGGGGGGTCCAAATCCGCTATGACACCGGGAAAGGAAGAAGACGAACACGCTCTTGCAGTTGATGGACTACTTCTAGGAAATCTAATAGCATATTCATCCTCTAAAATGTGCTTCTTCGGGTTCACAAATCTTTCTTTGGCGTGCAGTCGCTGTGATTTTAATTCATGTTCTTCAACCGCTACTTTAAATCAATTCACTACACTATGTCTTGGAGGCAGTTTTCCGTTGCATCTTTTCTGAAGTAACGCAACATGTTTATTGAGAAGCGCCCAGTTTTTTTACCCCATTAACAATGTATCTATCTGGATTAGAGGCGACAATATCAGCCTCAATTTTTCTAGCAAACGAATCTTCAACTGTTTTGTAAGCGCTAAGTTTGCTGTTGTAGTCGCTTTGGAGATTTGCTAATTCAGTCTCGCATTTAGTCACTTGCTGTGATAGATTTCGTCTTACAGTTTTGTCATTAGGATGCTTGTCAATGATTCCACACAGCATGGCGGATGTACATTCATCTCCATCACAGTTTCTTCTGGTGTGTCCCACCTTGAAGTGACATTTCCCACAGATAGAAAGAGAACCGGAATTATGAAACGCTGCTCTAGATAACTCCCTTTCAAAGTTGTCCCTTTGGACTTTCGCATGTTCTAAAGCCTTAGTTGCGCCTTCAACGCCTGCACGTTTTTTTGACAACATACGATCTACAGGTGTGTCTTTTAGTGCGGTGGCTTCCATTTCTTTGTCAAAAACAGCCGGTGACTCGGGATTTTCAAAATTAAGTTGTTTCTTTAGAGGGTCCTTCAACTCCGCGCTGTTGTTCTTCCCGGTACACGTAGTACTCGCTCTCATTTCTTGACGCTTCTTAGAAATCATCTCAGGTGTAGACTTCGGCTGCCACAAAAATGTTAACTTTCAACATCGTAAAGCGTCCATAAATGAGTTATTGGCACGTAGATTAATCAAGGTATTTTCTAAGCATGTAAGCGCCGGTCACGGCTGCACGAGTTTAGAGTTCGCCCAGGAAATTTCAACTAAAATCTCCACTCCAGTCTTCTTCACAAGCCACATCTCACGATAAATGGTTTCTGGAACGTATGTGCGCCCTTTCTGTTCGTATGTAGTCCATTTTGAGCTCCATTTTGGAGTAATTTTCATCGCAATCCTTGGAACCGCTCAAGCATCACAACTAACGAAGTGACTCACTCTTTCCCCTCTACGATGGCCGTAGGCTATCCAAAGAGAGGGAGAAGAGCTGGCGTGAAGACAAGAGCCGAAGAAACTTGGAAACAGTTTAACATTCCTGTGATTTCGTCACCGCGTTTTCAGTATGCAAATCTGCACCTAACGCGAGGAGTGAATTTTAACAACCTTGTCGCAGTTTCCAAGACGAAACCTAGCCATCAAAACCGAGCGTCAGTCCATTTCGTCCCTAGAGTAATGCTAGCGAATACTATGTCCTTAGTTCCGAAGCTAGATGAGGTTCAAGAATTCTTATTACGGCTAAACGTTCAGGTCGGATGCATCGTGGAATCTTGGCTGAAACAACATATTAATGACTCTGTTGTAAACACTGACGGTTATAATATCGTCCGGAAAGATCGATCCTCTCACGAACATGGCGGCGTATGTATATACATTCAAGATCATATCAAGTTTCAAATCCCCGAAAATTTATAATGCTGCAACGACCACGAAATAATATGGCTGAAGCTTAATCCACCAAGAATCCCTCGTGGGTTTTCGTGTATATTATTTGGCCTTGTTTACTACCCCGGTCGGACCAGTCCCGCAGAATCCGATCCCCATATCCTGAATGACCATCTCTTCGAAAGTCTAACTTTGGCAGAAGCTGCACTTCCCAACTGTGGAATTATTCTCACAGGAGATTTCAACCGTCTCAATACAAGCCGCCTGCAAAAAAATTTCGAGCTCAAGCAACTCGTGAAATTCCCTACGAGAGGGAACGCAACGCTCGATTTATTTTTAACTAACATGGGTGATCATTTTGCAACTCCTGAGCCGTATCAACCCTTTGGGCTCTCGAATCATTGCACAGTTTTCGTAAGACCTAAGGAACGAATCCCGAACCAGAGAACAAGGAAATCCATCTCAATCAGGGACAAACGGGACAGTAACAAGGCACGCCTCGGCCGTTATTTTAGGAACATTGACTGGTCATGCGTCACATATCAACCGTCCTGCGAGGAAAAGCTTAAAGTCTTTGGTAATCTAGTGGACATTGGCATAAACAATTTCATACCCGAAAGGTCAATTCGCGTTTACCCAAAGGATTGTCCCTGGATGTCAGTTAGGCTAAAAAAGCTTATACACACTGTAAAATGAAAAGAGCCAAATTGACCCCAAAAGCCAAATTGGCCCCAATTTCTCGAGGGCCAGTTTGGCCCATGAAGGTTCGTTTTGAACTATTTGAGCCAAAACGGGCGTGACAAATACCATTTCGACCCCTCCAAAATCTGAATTGGCCCCTATGAATTCTACTTTGGAACTTTTTCTCAATTTGGCCCTTCCAAGAGCCAAGTAGGATTGACCAAATTGACCCCCCAACGAGGTGCAATTTTTGAAAAAAAAAGAAAATATGAAAATAATTTTCTTTTTTCGACCATATTTCGTTCCCTATACTATTCCTTATAAAGTGTTCAAATTTTCAACGGTTCCTCTCGTAACTGAACACCGAGTCACAAAACGAATTAATCGTTGGCTTTTTCCCGAGACGTGAGCGTGAGCTGGCTGTGATGGCATTAGTCGAACCTAGACCACGTGCGTCGGAAACAATAATGAATTATAGCAGCGAATTCGTCACTGAAGAGGCTGTTTCTTGGCTACAGTCGCATGGAATGAGACTTAAGAAAGGAAAGGTAGGCAAAAGAAACTTCTTAACAACGTATTTTACTGCAACTTTACATTCACAAACTTGACCGCTCCATTGATCTTTGTTCGTATCTTATCTTGCAGAAAAAGACGGTTGCGATGGCCAAGATCTCCTTGCGATCGCCCAAGATGCAGACGTACCAAGGCACTACATCCCTATTATAAAAGAGCGTCTAAAGCTCAAGAAATTGATTGCAATGAACGCTGAACCTAGAGATGACACGAGTTCTTCGTCGGTACGATAATTAATTTTCCCACCAGAGAATTTGACGCATGAATGGTTCGCCTCTTCTCCCGAGTCTTGTTGAGTCTCAGCGGTTTCGCAATTAAAGTCACGTGATCAAATTTTGGCGCCGAGAGATAGAGACGGTTACAGTTCGAATACTGCATTTGCACAAGATGGATTTAACTTAATTCAAGATTCTCTGATTTTAGGATCTCTCACTCTGAATTCTTAATCTTTTTCTTGAAAAGATGAACTGATATTTTATGTCTATGTCTTTGTTTGCATCCACTTAAGCTGATTTTTGGCTCTCACTCTTTCAGCGTGCAGAATCAAGTCCTTCGAGTAAGACGGTTCAAACGTCGATTGGTGATTCAGAAAACATCAGCGATTATGAAAATTTAGAGGTGACATTGGCACCGAAAGAAATGGGTAAATCAATATTATAAATCGCTCAAGGATCTCTGTTTTACGGACGAGGCGACAGAACTGAGCACTGTCTAAGTAAGTTCTTGTATATTAAACTTAGCAGGATGGCGAAGAGTACATTATCGATTACTTTCTTTCGATTATATCCTAAAGGAAAACACACAAGGTGCCAGTTGGTCAGTTAAAGATGACAAATCTCGGGGATTGCACCTACAAAAATGGCGAGATTTGCTTTATTTTTATTGAAATATATTAGATATGTATTTACTTGCACCATACATAAAACAAAGTAAACCCAATTTTTAAATCTGGTAAATTAAAAAATTAGTGAATTGATAGGATGTTATCAGACAGTTTAATTTTTTTGAAAACAAATATTTACCTACAGGTTCCTCCTGAATGGCTTTCGAAATTCCAACTACCATCGAGGGTAAGAAACTTTTCTTTGTTTTGTTTTAAGTCTACAAGCAATCCTTATTTATTCATGAATACTGAACTAAAACTGAAGTGCATAGATGTATGATTTCTTTTCTTGATAAGTACATATACAGTTTGGTGAAAATACATCATTGATGATCACCATTATTGTGTTTTTACTTCTTATGCACAGTTTGCTTACAAACATTTTGCAACTTTGTAGTTGCAAAAATTTACTGTTCTCCGACAACAAATTAATTTGCTCATTTGTTTGTTTTTTTGTACAGTTCTCTGCCTCAGTAGAGTTGGATACCCAGAAGGGATATCTCATCAGCAGCCTAAAGTACTCTGAGCAACAGTGGATTGCAAAAAAAATTATTGCAGAGTATCCTTGTATGGTTAGCAGGATACTAGACTAAGTTGACTTGGAAACTGAATGGATTGGTATGGTCTAAAAATCTATTGCTTCACCTCTTCTGCTTGCAGTGAAGAGAGACAATTTTGTGGTGCTGAATCTATTGCCTTAAAATAAAAAGTTGCAAAATAATCACTCTCACCTTTTAAGTTCATGACCTTTGTTCTTGTGTGTTTGTCATCACATGCATTTAATGAAGTTGTGACCATTTTGGAGGTACAAGTCCAAAAAACTGCTACTTTGGTACTAAGATGAACAGCTAAAATTTCTGAGCCCATTTGCCAATGAAGTCCAGATACAAAGGTTCAAGTACTTTGGGGTTGTATTAATTTTGCCTTTTTGTTTAGTTTTTTTGATTTTGCAATTTTTTAAAATATTCCTGTTGTCAAACCATTAGATAAATATTGGACATAGAATAGCTGATTTTTTTCAGATATTTTGGGAGTCATACATTAGTTTTTCAAGTCTTGAATGGGAGACAAATTACACACATTGAGCTAAACTTCCACTTCCATTTCTGGTGTTTTAGCTTATAGTTTTAGAAAAACAACATATATATATGTAAATGTGGGGGTAGAGTCTACCTTGGCATAAAGTGCTCAATGCTGTGGTAGTAGAGCTAAGTATACATAAGTTAAAAAATTAAGGAGGACACATCAATTCTCTGTGACTCTGAATTTTCGCACCTAAGCGCTTGTCAGACAGAACTTTTCTGTCTGATAAGCACTTAGGCACAAAACTCAGTCACAGAGAATTGATGCGTCCTCTTTCTTTTTAACTTAATGTATATATATATATTCTTTTTTTCTGGCTACAGGCACTTTTTGCACTTTGGCTTGATTTTAATGTGGTTGTAAAACTTGTTTTTATTGCATAGAGTAGCTGATGTTGATTCAGCAATCAGAGATTATGTCCAGCACAAATTTTAATTGTTGGAGATCTTCAATACATCAATCACCTGAATATAGTAACAGAGGGAAGTGTAATTTGTCACTTCTCATAAGAAAAGATTCTTGATGCTCTCATTGGGTTACTTGGCTTATTTATATTTTCTTACAATCGGTCAAAGGCAATTTTGACTTTTTTTAGAGCAAGCATTGCTTGAAATTGGGCACAGGCAGACTCTTGTCACTGTTTCCTCTATTTTCAATGACTTGGCAAATGCCTGCGGTAGTACTTGCTGATAGTTTATATTTTGATAATATCTAGAGTAGTAATATGAGTGCATGTATTCTCACATCCACTGGAAGAATACTCTTTGCTGCTCTAAGGCTCTTTGTTTTTCATATGCACAAATCAAACAAGGTCTATATTCTTGTGCAGGAACTGGACCATTTGTTGCCTCTGTCTTATTTTGATAATTTTCTGTACTTTAAATCAGTCTTAATTATAAGCTGCTTTACATTACCACATTTGCTAAGTCATTGAAAAGGGAAGCTTTACTCACAAGTGTCTCTTGGGTGTAATTTCTTGCAATGCTTGCACTATTAAGAAGTATACTGATTTAGGGAAGAGATCTATTTTAGAAAATGGTTGAATTAATGTTAAATATGTATGTATGTTATATTCTTTCACATGATGTTTCAAAGATTGTCTGTTTTATACCACAATTAAGATTCTTAATAACTGTAAAATCAGGTAGCATAAAAGGTTTTTACATAAACAATATCTAGCAGCTAATAAATGAGTGTTTGAAAGATAAAGTATGTGGTGTATTTTCATTATTTGAATGAAAGGGGGGAAATCAGCATGGAGAGGAAAGAGCCCTCTACTTCTGAAGTGGCCCACATTGGAGCTGAATTGGCTCTTTTTAAAGGGGCCATTTGTGAGAGGGCTGAAATTTCGGGGGCTGTTTTGGCCCCTATAAATTTCAAAGTGGCCCCTGTATTTTTCAAATTCACCCTTCACATGGTCCAATTTGGCCCCTACAACGGGGTCAATTCAGCCCCAAAATTGGTGCCAAAAACAGCCCCATTTCAATGGGGCTGAATTGACCCTAAGCGAGTGCCAAACTGGACTCACTCGTTTTGGCCCCATTTTTGGGGCCAAATCAGCTCTTTTAATTTTACAGTGCACATGCGCCAACAAGCCTTCTATTCCAACAGGCAGGCCTGGCATATAAGTTCTATAGAAACGCTGTTAACAAAGAAAGGAAACTATGCAAAGGGAAATACTACGCTTCCAAAGTCCAAGATCTTAAAGGTGTAAACCCTCGTTCGTTGTGGAAAGAGGTCAACGAGCTTAGTGGCGCAAAAAGTCAGAATATGAACCTAGTAAACGCCCTGAACGTCCCGGACTTTGAGAATTTGTCCCCGCCTGAAATCGCCAACGGTATCAATGAGGCCCTATTAGAACCTTTGCGTCAATTTCAACCATTAAACCGAGAGCCGGGTGTTTACCCGCTACCATTAGAGGACAACCCGGTGTTTCTAGAAGCCACCCCAGAGCGAGTCCATGGAAATTTGTTACACCTGAATAAACACAAGGCCCCAGGCCCCGACGGCCTGTCTAACTGGTTCTTCAAGGAGTGCGCGGAACTGCTATACCAACCAATAGCTGACATTCTTAACTCATCATACAAAGAGCACCAATTACCATCTGTTCGGAAGCACGCGGACGTTACTCCACTCCCGAAAGTAAAAGCAAGTCGTAGATCCCAAGAAAGAACTCAGACCGATCTCGCTAACCGCATCGCTTTCCAAGGTTGCAGAGGACTTCGTAGTATCAGATTACATAAGACCAGCCTTGGAGAGGATAGCCGATTCAAACCAGTTTGGCACCGTATCAGGTTCATCCACCGTCCTCGCTCTGTTAAGTATGATCCACGAGTGGCTCCAAGCAACAGACGGAAATAGCGCATCTGTGCGTGTTTTCCTCTTCGATTACTGCAAGGCTTTTGATTTCATTGATCACGGAACTCTGGCGGCCAAACTTAAGGAAGTCGAGATCCCCAACAGTATCGTTAACTGGATCCTGGATTTTCTGTCGGATGGGTCCCAGAGGGTGAAACTCAGCCGAGAATGTTTGTCTGAATGGGGCGCGGTGCCAGCAGGTGTCCCCCAAGGGACTAAATTGGGGCCGTGGCTTTTTTTGCTTATGATCAACGACCTCTTGACCCCCATTGCGCTCTTTGGGATGTGGAAGTACGTGGATGATACCACCTTGTCAGAAAAAGTACCGAAGGGGCAACAAAGTAGAGCACAAGAAGCAGTAGACCACGTTTCCAACTGCTCAGCGGAAAATTTATTCCAGCTAAATCTTGAGAAGACTAAAGAGCCCACCATCAGCTTCCGTCGTTCCCCGGAACACTTCGACCCAGTCACAGTTGATGGGATACAGATCCAAGCAACGACTTCTAGCAAGCTTCTCAGCCTCATCATCAACAACGCACTAACATGGAACGATCACGTTGATAGTTTAATAAAGAAAGCGGCTAGGAAAATCTATCTCCTTGTGCAACTTAAACATGCACGTGTTCCAGCCGAAGATCTTGTCGCCTACTACCGCGCATGTATTAGATCTTCCCTTGACTACGCTTGTCCAGTTTTCCATTTTTCTCTACCTCAATATTTACAGTCGGAGTTAGAAACTGTTCAGAAAAGAGCTCTGGCGTGTATTTTTTCCTAGAATGCCGTACAGGGAAGAGTTAGAGCGCGCCTGTTTGACCTCTATCAGGGAACGCCACGAAGACATTACAAAGTCTTTATTTAGATCAATCAGCGAGAATCAGGACAGTAAACTACATCGCCTAATTCCTGAAGCCTACGGCCCTCATTATAATTTCAGGCACCAAAGAACGTACAATGTACCAGCGGCCAAGACAAAGCGTTTTGCTAATTCATTTTTCGTGAAGTGTGCGGCTGTAACCAACTCAATTTTGAGATGAATGAGAACCCCTTTTAAATAGAACTTTAAGCCATTATATTTATAATTGTATATAAGTAGCTTGTAAATAATTACGCAATTCAGTATTTTACTGCGATGTGATTTAATGATAAACCAGTCCAAGTCCAACTACATTTTAGCGGGAACTCGCGGTAGCCGAACACTGATGACGTCAGTACCGCGAGATGTTTCCAATGGAAACAAGCGCTGTTACCAATGACAACATCATGGTTTTAACGGTAAAACTTGGGCGTCAAACTGGCCTCGCGCCATGCTCAATCCGGATGCGTAGTATGCCCCATGTAGGGAATACCTGGAGGGTTAGG